CCCGCCAATTTCGGTTCTGACGGTATCGATACCTCGTGTACTGATACGTCCAGGTGGCCACGATGTCCATGTTGTTGTGCTGTTATACAGGTTCAGGGATTCGGATGGGTTGCATTGTGAGATCCAGAACTTTGCTTGGTTCGTTCAAAATGGAGTAGTTCTGATTAATCAACCGCAAGGCGGGCGGAGATGCATGGCACCTGCAGCATAAATCCTCACGTTTAATGAGATGAGGGATGTCACATACCCACGTGTGGACATTGATCAGCAATTGATCCGAAAAAAGGGTGTGCTTTAGTCTGAAAAGACGGCTGAGATGTGGACCTTACGTAATTCCGTATCGTACCATACTTATATGCGGTATTGATCTTTCCCTGGGCCAAGAGGTACTGCCTATCGTTTTGTTTAGTGAGACAATCGGTTAGTATACCACGATGACGGCAGTTGAACGAGGATCGGCCGTGGTATCAATTGCCTGGCTCTCTTCAACAGCGTTTGCCTCCGGGATTCCCAAGTATAGCTATCATCCCGGATCCAGGAACAACGCCCCCCTTTTCCAACGCTGAGCTCTTCTGGACTCCGGAGGGTACTTCTCAGTAAGTACCTTACGGTAATCGCCAAACCGGCTAGTGTCCCCCGACAACGAGAGCTAAATGGCGAGGACTCCATCCACTCAGAAGTACTGCTCGGCGCCCAACCTAACCTAAAGGGCACTAAGGGCAGTGGGGGAATTCTGGAAAGCCTGCAGCTTTGCTTTTGCGTTGCCCCTGAATCGCTTCTCCGCCATACTGAAAAATAGGTCCCCGTCCACGAGGGGAAGAAGAAAGAAAAAAAAAACAAGAAAAGGAACAGACAAAGAGGAAGAGTTCCAGCATCGGTGAGCTCTGACGTTCCGACGAGCTAGACAATTCCCAGGCAGCCTGGAATTGAATACGCGTGTGCTCGCAGTGCGAAGCAAAAGCGGCCCCCCAGATATTGGCGGATCGGATTGAGGAAAAGCATTGTCCTTCTAATATCCGTTCTCAGGCCGATCATTATCAGTCGTTCAACGCTTTCTCATTTCGCTTCGTCCCTTCCACTGTTTCCTTCAACCTCCTCAATTTAGTTTCCCCTTTTCTTTGCGTTTCATGTTAATGCGCCGCTTGAGTCGGACGCTGTGAGCAGGCTTCTTCACAACATTCGTTTTATTTTTTCCCCTTCGAGCTAAGACCGAAGTACAGAAAAATAAGATTAAACAAAAATAAAACAAAGGGACAGCTGTGGTTCGTCTGAGCTGTAGCTTCACCCCTAACAATCGCTTCGATAGCGTATATTCCGTCGTCCTCTAGCAGAGACACCAGGCTTGCCTCAACAGACACTTGCTGGGCTGGTGGATGTTGATCGGTTGTCAATCCCAATCTGACGTATTCGGACATATCGAATATTTGAGTTTTGCCGCTGAATCATTAGCGATCATTGCGCCCCGACTCGACTTCAAAGAACTCCATCGCGTCATTCGAAGGACTATATCACCAGGAGAAAGGCTACATCCATATACTTAGCTAGATTGGTTTGCGTGCGGCTCGCGACAGCTGACCGTTCAAGGATCTGTAAGTGCTTATCGGTTAGCTTGTTGATCGTATTTTTAGGAGCAGGACTAAAGAGGGCCTGTTGGAAAGACATTGGCTGACTTGCTACTCGAGTTGCTAGGGAACGGAGTCGACCGAGAGCACGTTGAGTGAATACCTTGAGCCTTTTATCTGAGACAAGCCATTCACAGTTACCCCACTTTTGCGCCAAAGTACTTCCGAACCCCATCCGTGTTACCAGCAATCGGCTGATTGGAAAGAGCCACCCGAAAAATAAGACCAATGGCTACTGCAACTTCTGGCCTTCGTTCCCCGGGACACCATGATCCCTCCGATCTTGAGAACGGCACCACCAGCAAAGATCAACGTCGAAATTCCTCTTTAGGTTTCCTCCGTCGTCCCAAGTCCATAGAGCCACTCGGAGGCAAGAGCAAAAAGAATTCCAAGCCCCAAGCAATCGACGAGGAGCTACGTCGACAGGGAGCCATGTTAAAGCAACCGCCTCGTCTGCCCGACCTGTCTCCCGCCCCAATTCTAGAGAGTTTTGGAGGTGAAGAGCGAGGCCATGCCAATAGCGCTGCCGCTCCTTCGACCAGCACCCCCTCGCCCCAACTACAGCAACCCCCTTCTCGCACCTCGATGAGCACCGACTACGACCCGTACGCACGGACAGAAAGCATGACGCACCGCGGGCGTTATAGCTACGCCAGCAGCGCTGTGAGTACCGTCAACAATCCGCGTAGGCTACGTCGGCGCAAGGATCCGACCCCGTACAAGTAAGGCCCATCCGACTCAGATCCTTCACTCCTGACCCATATTAACTGTTCGCATAGCGTCCTTGTCATTGGCGCCCGTAATTCGGGAAAGACCGAGTTTCTGAATTTCCTCAAAAAGTCTTTAGCCATGCCAGCCCACAAGCATCCCTCTCGCCCCGCCGAAGAAATGGAATACCAAGATCGGCATGCGCCTGCCAACCAGGGCTACACCTCTGAATACCTCGAAACGGAAATCGATGGGGAACGTGTCGGGCTAACGCTGTGGGACTCTCAGGGATTTGAGAGAGACATCGTCGACATCCAGTTGCGCGGCGTGACCGGCTTCTTGGAAAGTAAATTCGAGGAGACCTTGAGTGAAGAGATGAAAGTCGTTCGTTCACCTGGAGTGCGAGACACTCATATTCACTGCACGTTTCTGCTCCTTGACCCCGTGCGCCTGGATGAGAACATCGCGGCCGCAAAACGGGCCGCCCAAGGGACCCCCAAGGCTTCCGACTCGCCAGTCATTGGTGTTTTAGATGAGAACCTCGATATCCAGGTACTGCGAACCGTGCTGGGCAAGACCACCGTGGTCCCCGTCATCAGCAAGGCCGACACGATCACCACGGCACATATGTCGTATTTGCGGAAGGCAGTTTGGGACAGCTTAAAGAAGGCCAACATTGACCCCCTCGAGATCCTCACCCTGGAGGACCAGGAGGAAGAATACACGTCTTCAGAGAGCGCTGATGAGGAGGACGAGACACCCGAGAACGACGGGGATGACCAGAAAGCGCCCGGTTCACCTTCCGCAAAGAGCCAAGGGTCTGGAACGCAAGCTCCCTCTCAGATTCTGCCCTTCTCTATCTTGTCCCCCGATCCCCACTCATTGGAGGCCGGCGAAGAGCCTGTCGGTCGCAGATTCCCCTGGGGGTTTGCGGACCCTTATGACGCTGAGCACTGCGATTTCGTCCGGCTCAAGGAATCCGTCTTTAGCGACTGGCGTACCGAACTGCGCGAGGCCAGCCGGGTGGTCTGGTATGAGCGATGGAGGACAAGCCGCTTGAATCGGAAGACTCCCATCCCCAGTGCTGAACCCTCCAAGAAGGTTTATGCTGGTAGGCTGGGCCCCCTTGACCAGGGGCCTCGAGTACGATAGTGGCCCTCTGACTCTGCTGGATGCCATTGGCGAATTAAGTGTCATTCCATGATGTGTACTCCCATACGGGTACCAGCCCTCTCCCCACTTGCCGAATGCACGCCCTCTTTGGGTCAGCTCTATCTCATCTGCCGGTTTGGAATTTTGGCTGGTGCGAGACAAAACAGCTTGTGTCATTTTCCACTTTCTCTTCTTTTTTCTTGTTTTCTTATTTTCTTTCTCCCTATCATTCTTGTACGTGAGACAAACCGAGCTCCACAAGGAACACCTAAGGCGAGCCAGATGGCCGACGTGAAATCCTCTTTCTTGTCTGAAGGGTCCCCGTCCATCATTTGTCTTGGGTACAGTTTCTACTGGTTCCGTTTGCCTTGAAAGCATAATTGACAGAAGCGGGTTGAATTGTGTTCCTGATATCCCCATTATGTGATGCTTTATTGACACTCCTTATACCATTTATGTTCTTACTGATATTGCCCCTTGATGCTTCGACGTTTTTGATTCTGAGCCCCGACCGTGACCCATAATTTTGTTTTCCTCGACGTATTCCCCGTTTGATCCCAATTTTGCCCTTTTGTATTCCTTTCAGGACCTGTATTTTTTTTAACGTCCATTGGTTCCTGTGTTGACGCTTGGCATCCTCTCTCTTTTATTCTGCGGAGAAGGATGGATTTGAGAATGGAATCATTTGTACCTTTAAAGACCGCTGATTCTCCCATGATGCGCATGTCGCTATCTTGCTTGATACCAACCAGATTGTCATTTGTCGGCTTGATATTACTCCATTCTCGGACCTAGAAACTAAACTTGGAACCACCGGGGAGGGCGATGTAGGTGGCCGTGAGGTAGCCAACCATGAGGGAGGAGCCGTAGCACTGTTGCCCATGGGGACGATCACGGAGGCATGGGGGAATACACAATGTGGTACCGCTGAATGTGCCTGTACGATCCAAACATAGACATACACATACTACCAGCAATAAATGGTAGGAGAATATGCGGTAGAGACTTGAGGGTTCTCGTTGTGTTACTTTTGTACACTGGAATCATTCTAGACTGGCGCACACGACAGAATGAAAGTAACCCAAGGCTTTCTCTATAGAGAATAGTATGTTATTCCCCAATTCATATAGACTATATCGAGCCCCATTTACTCAGGAGTACTTTACTGTCTAACTACTGGCGGGTCATACACCTGTACTGGCACGAACTATACGCCATGGTTTTTGTTCTCTACATGAAGACTGAACCCTGCATAATACTGCCTATAAAATGTAACCCATGGACTTTGTTCAATACATATACAGAAACGTTACTCAAGCATTTCTCTAATAGTATGTTAAAGACACATCCAGCTCAGGAACCCCCCCACGCTCTCTATGCACTGACCAGGGGAATAATAAGACGAGAGCCAAACTCCCCCTCCAACCCCCAGACGATTCAACAGATCACGGTCATACTTCAAGATTAGATAATTCAGAATCAATTCGTATGAAGTCGACAGTCGTGGAAGCCGGGTATTCAAGAAAACGGCTGTGGTAAGCCGGCAAACGCCAGTCGAGAGAGATCTGCGAACTCCCCGGAGAGCCAGCCGGGGTCCTCGGTGGCGGTCATGGGGGTTTCCAGGCCTTGGAAGATGTCTCCAGCATACACCTCCCACAGGGTAAGCCTTGGAGACAGCGAATTCGGAAATGGAAACAAGTCGCGGAAGCTGAATAGGTCATAGCCTTCGCTGAACAAGGCCTTTTCTTGCGATTCACCCATGGTTGTTGCCAGATTATTTCGGACTCGACCGCTAGTGCGCGACGCTCGCAGTCGATTGATCGCGTTCAATATCACCGTTGACCCGGGAATTCGGGTTTGCACCTGCTCCAACGACGACACAAGAATATCCAGCTCTTCCGAGCAGTAGCTATCGGATTCTGGCAGGGAGCATTCCGCGGCGTTGTAGAGCAGCTGCGGCATTGCAGCGACTGTGAGGAACCAGTTTTGTATCCCAAGAAGATAATTGAGATCGTCCCGACAGTCAATCTCGTGGTATAAGCGGGCAACGCATGAAGAAGCGACCAGGGATACAATGTTCGGGACCGAGGTAATGTCATGGTCGTTGAAGAGGTCACAGTATAAGATGATCGTGGCAAAATACACGATATGTAATTCGAAAACATCCCGTCGGTACGTTCGCGAGCCGTTGCGGTCGAAAATGTGAATAGGCGTGGGAAGATTGCGGATCCAATCTTTCAGTGAACGGAGGATATCTGTATGCTGTGTCATGGCAGCAAGAGTAAGTATGAAAATCCGTGTCATCGTTGTTATCACATCTATATGCTAAATGACGCAAGGGCACAGATACCTGGGCTTGTATATCTTTAGGAGACCGCCATCGGAGGTCTAAGATCCTCCCCAGAATGCTCGCTATCTTGGCCAGCTGCATGAAAAGCAAAGGTTGGATGCCGGGGCACTCGAAATCTTCTTCCGCCAGGGGTCGCACATCAAACTCATCTTCTTTGATGCACGTCGGCCGTCCAAATGCACCGGACAACAGTTTATCTTGGACCTTGATGTGATGAGTAGGAGCCAGTGGGATTCAGGGGATACGTACGAAAAGGCACCATGCAATCCTGCGTGCGATTCCCGGATTGACAGATGCAATACACATTTCTTCGCGGTGTAGGCCCATTTGTTGCAACAATCTGATTGCGATCCCCAACCAATGCCACGCGCAATCCACGGTCAGTAGCACCGGACCAGCGACGTTGCGAGTGGCCAAAAGACACAAAACCTTCAGAACGGTCATTGGGTCCTGCTCGTGGTTGGTGTGGATGAGGGTCTTGGCGTTGTAATAATACTTCTCGTTCTCCGACAGAATATCTGGCCCTTTGGGATGCCGCAGCATCGTCCCCACCATGCAAATGGCTTGCTGAAGCGCGAGCGACGGTCTGTCGGACGATAGGTCGGCATGATCAATCACGGGAAACTGGTGAAAAAGGTGTTGGAAGTAGGCGTCGATATATGCATTGAATAAGATGGTCGGTGGGGATGCTGTAGGGTCTATGATCGTCGTCAGGATCTCCTGGTTCCGGCTATTGGAGAAAGCTGTGATGCGCTGATAGTTTGGGGGAATGCTCGGAGTACTATGCATGATCGATGTCATTGCACCCAGATACTGTTTATGGAACGCTTCCGGTGCTGGAGCTGCAGCTACTTGGTCTCGTTGCTCACGAATGATGGATGTTTCTGGCGTCGCTGGCCTGACCAGCCCTGGCGGAGCTGTTCCATTGGGTCTCGGAGATCCCAGAGCTTGCTTTGCATATCTTTCCTTGACAGTCGCTCTTCGGTTGGCGCGAGGTCTTGGAGATGAATCAGCAATCCTGTAGCCATCTCACCACCTCATGACCCTTACTGGCAGGCTAATCCATGTTTGTAACAATTGGAACAAGTGCCCTGGGATCGAGTTTGCAAATCACACTTGACCTTGCGTGCGTGACACTGGCAGCATACGATCCTTGCGCGATCCCGGACCCCGTGAAGTGGTTGACCCGATGTGGCCATGATGACCAGAACTTGTGATACTATGCGAAGAGTACAGGGCACTCGGAACTCGGGCGATTGAACAGAAGTGCGAAGGTCAATTGAATAATAAGGATGGAGCGTTGTGGTCGGGCTGAAGCGTATTATCAATCGTCGGAACCGAACTGAGGGGTGACTGATTTAACGTCCACCCACTCTGATGGCGCGATAATACAGGACACCGGACAGCAAAAAGGTTCATATCGAACCAGAGTGGAGAATTACTTACAGTCCCTCGGATTGGT